AATCAACATATGCAATATGTTGCAACCTCACATCTACCATCACAAATACAATTACCATTTCCAAATGGAATGTGTGTTATGATACGATACTTATTAACACCAATGGATCCATCACAACCATGTAACTTATCTCCATCAACAGTAATGCCAATTTATCAATTAGCACAACCATGTTGGTCATCACCTGTAACTACCGATGCTATGAAATCACAAACAAGTACTCAAATGATTGGTATACAAATCTCACCATCAGCTATGACTGATGTTGAATCTCGATCAACAATGCCAATGGGAACTCAACCAACATCAAAATCAGGACAAATGATGTCTGACACTTCTGTTCGACCATTTGTTGGAGTACAATCACAACAAGCAACAGCTTATACTCGTACAGCACGAAATATGCCACCTAATGTATGTATTCAAATTGAATAAAAAAATAATAATAATAATTTTGTTTTTAGAATTCAACTGGATTTTTAGATTCAATTGTAGTTGCTGAACAAAAACCATTAACATTGGCTGCTCTTGCTAATGCAACACCATTAGAGCAAAAACAAATGTTAGGTGAACGTTTATTTCCATTGATTCAACAAATTCAACTAGAATTAGTTGGTAAAATAACTGGTATGCTCCTAGAAATTGATAATACTGAACTTCTTTATATGCTCGAATCAAGTGAATTACTTAAAGCTAAAGTATGTTTATTCAATTTTAAAATAAATAATTTTTTATTTTTATTTTATATTAGGTTGAAGAAGCTATTGCTATACTTCAAACATATCAAGCTAAACAAGCAGCAACTAATTCTGTTGCTCAAAAAAATCAAATATCATCATTTAAAAATGAAAATAAAACAAAATCCAAGCAAATGTATTGGCACATATACATACACAGAGATTGTCTTTTGTTTTTTTTCTTCTGCTTCGTTTACTATTGTTCATTTCTGTTATTAAGTATGAAAAAAAGTAGCTCGCTACAAAATCATTATCATCATTATTAAATACTTAAAAAAAAATTACTAAAAACACTCATGCTTTTTGTTTTTCAAATATGTTCTATTTTAACGAGCAGAAAAGAGTGAAAACTAAAAAAAATGAAGTTCAATACAAATGAAACTCAATAAAATCTAACAACGTTCATACTGCTTTTCCAGAAAATGACTAGATGCTCATGTAATAATAAAATGCCAGATGTCGATAGATTAAGTCAATCACTATCACAGCCATTTTACTTTTCATGTCATTTATTTCTATGTATTGTTGTTTCTATTTTATTATTATGATTCCATTTATGAAGATATGAATAAATAGAGAAAAACAAAATTTATCCATAGCGAACAAATCATCGAAGAATTAAAATATTCCCCATTGATGATAATTTAAAAAATAGGATGCGGATGTGTAGAGCAACTATGATGCTACATTTTACCTCAGCAACGAAGATCTTCAAATGGTACTCATTTCAATTTAAATTCAGAATAGGGGTGGGACGTTATTTCTAATTCAATTTAATTAAGCCATTTTATTAACCAATTTTACTTAAAACTTAAAATTAAGTGTTAAGTTTTTCTAACTCCAACTTAACCGCCTAATATTAAATATTAATAAAAAACTTAATTCTTAAAAATAATTGTTAATGAAAAAACTTAAAACTGAAAATTAAGTTTTAAGTTTTAAAAAGACAACTTAATTTCTTAATATTCAGTTTTTTAAAAGAAAACTTTATTTCTTAATATTAAGTGTTAAGTTTTTCTAATTAACGCTTAATTCACTTAAAATTAAGTGATACATTTATAGTTCTCACCCCCTATTCTATGAAGGGACCCTTAGGTCCTCAAGTCCTATTATATGAGCGTACCCTTGGGTCCTGAAGTGGGTGTGGGGTGTGGGTAAGGGCGTTTGGGTGTGGGTGTGGGTGTGGGTGTGGGTGGGTGTGGGTGTGGGTGGGTGTCGGTGTGGGTGGGTGTGGGTCTGGGTGTGTGTGGGTGTGGGTCTGGGTGTGTGTGGGTGTGGGTCTGCGTGTGTGTGGGTGTGGGTGTCGGTGGGTGTGGGTCTGGGTCTGAGTGGGTGTGGCTGTGGCTGTGTAGGTGTAGGTGTGGGTGTGGGGGATGTGGGTGTGGGGACGTCGGATTAAAGATAACGATAACACTTATAGCCGCACTCCACCCACATTCCACTCACACTCCACCCAAACCCACACCCACATCCACACTCACACTCACACCCACACTCCCAAAATGAGTTATAGATGCGATATCCTCTTTTCTAATCTCTCTCCATACGCAACATCCTATTTATGAGTTGCTTTCTCTCTCTGAAAATTTTCTCGTTCACATCTTTCTCTCTCCGAAATATCTTCGTTATATGTAATTTTTTCTCTCATCTACCATGGTCTCATACACATCTTCATATATAATATGGAGTCTTCACGTAAAGTAAACTGAAAGACGATCCTAACTTTGTTCGACACTTTCCATCTATACTTGGAGCTTTCGCGAAAACAATCATAGCTCATCTTCAGTGAAAACGAAACACAGGAGCGACACTGAACTGTTGCACATCCTAAACGTTCAAATGAATTCTCTTCTACAACTTATCCATTCACTCAATCATGATAAGAATCCTATATACCTATAACAATAATACTTATACGATCCGACAACTGTTCCATCTATTTGGGCGACGATAAGGTA